TACAGTCCCTACAGGCAGCTCCTTCTGCTCCCTCCCCTAGTAAAGAAAATGTTTACGACCCCCCTTTTTCCACGCCTCCCAAGGCTGATTTCTCTCAACATGAGTCTCTTATGGAAAGATGTTTGCGAGAGGGCCGTGAAAAAGAAGGGCTTTCTGCGTATCCTGTCATTCGGGGATCAGGACTGCCCCGTCTTGATGGCCTTGATTTTCAGGTTTTTAAAGAACTCCGTAAAAGTATGATAGAAAACGGTTTACAGTCCTCCTTTACAAGGGGATATGTAGAAGCTATAGGACAGAACTATGAGATGACCCCATGGGATTGGAACCTTTTGATGCGAACAGTTTTAACCCCTGCTCAATTTAGTGTATGGAGCCAAGAATATAAAGAACATTGTAACCTTTATGCCGTAGACAACCTCAATCATAATATTCCTATCAGCTTTGATATGCTCCTGGGTAGTGGAAATTATTCTACCCCCCAAGCCCAAAGCCAAATGAATAGACAAACTTTTAGTCAAGCATCAAATGCTGCCACTAAAGCATGGGGTAAGGTCCCTGACTCTAAAACACCTACAGGCTCCTTTGCCACTATCCGACAAACAGCAAACGAGCCTTACATTGATTTTATAAACCGCCTTCAAACGGCAATCTCCCGACAGGTAGACAATCAACAAGCTGCTGAGGTTCTTTGTCTCCAGCTTGCTTACGAGAATGCTAATGCCGACTGCCGAGCGGTTCTGACGCCCTTAAAGGCGCAGAATCCTAATTTAGCTGAAATGATTAGAGCATGTCAAAATGTTGACACAGAAACTCATAAGGCAGCTCTCCGTCCATCCACTGCCACCTGTTTTGGGTGTGGTAAACCTGGACATTTTAAAAAGGACTGTCATAGGTTAAAAAACAAAAATGCCAACACTGAACTTCCAACCCGGAAGTGTCCCCGCTGTAGTAAAGGCTTTCATTGGGCTAATATATTCTGGGTTTCTTTATGCTACAGCCCTTTCTGGAGAATGTTCTACTCATGCCTATTGCCATTTTACCCAAGCCATTGCAACCATGGGATGCCCCCAGGCCCTTAAAACTGATAATGGGCCTGCGTATACTTCTGCTAAGTTCCAACAATTTTGTGCCACTTGGAATATTCTTCATACCGCTGGCATTCCCTGTAATCCTCAAGGTCAAGCCATAATTGAATGTGCCCATCATACTCTCAAACAGCTCTTAAATAAACAAAAAGGGGGAGATGATAGGCCCAAAATATGCGATCAGAATGAAAGACTTGCCAAAGCTTTATTTACTTCTAATTTTTTAATGGTCACTAGAGATGGCCGGACTGCAGCAGAGCGACATTTTATCCCCCCCTGACACCCGACCTCGCCCACAGGTCCTCTATAAAGATCCTCAAAATCTCTCTGTCTGGCAAGGACCTGTAGAACTATTAACCTGGGGGCGAGGGTATGCGGCTCTTTTGTCTCCTACAGGCCCACTTTAGATTCCTGCTCGACTAGTGAAACCATATCATGACCCAACAACAGCTGTGGCTCCTGCATCAAACGCTGATCCAGAAACAGAAAAAGAAGAATGAACGACTAAGTCTTACTATGCCGGTAACATGGGGAGGTCTAAAGACCTCTTTCTCCAAAGCTGAAGAAACATTCTTAACCACCGGTACTCTCTTTACATTTACTAAATCTCAGGTGTATATTTTTTATTTTCCTTTCCCAAATATTACGCTTCTGCTTCAACCACTTATTGGGCTCATGTTCTTAGCCCTCCTGTCTTCCACCCGGTCACTTGGGAGGAGCCGGAGCCTCCCCTTTCTTCTAATGACACTAATGTTACAGGAGGACAATATTTGGCTTATTTTAAGCCACTCATTAATTCTTCTGAAGAAGGTTGGTTTGTATTATCAACAAATTGGATACTTTATGCTGATGCCATTCCTTTATGCTTTACTACCCAACCTCACACTACTTCTGTGTGTGTTACCTATATTAGAACAATGGTATATGAATCATATCTACTATAACGACACCTATCGT